CCCGTGCCCCCCCCAACCAAGCCCCCGCCACCCTTCACCAGTCAGGTGCCTGGAAAGGTGGGCGGCGAGGCTCTGGAGGCCTTCCCCGGGCTCTGCACCTCGGCGTGAGTGGAGGGGCTCTGCAACTTACTTGGCTGCTTCTTGCTCTGACTGAGGGCTGCTGTGAGCAGGGGGCAGGGCTTGTTGCATGTGCCCGCCCCCTGGGCTCTTTACTGCCGGAGCTCCGCTCCTGTGCGCTCCCGCTGGAAATGACCCCTGCCGATATCCATTTATCTATCGTGGGTGCTTGTGAGCGACTTGACAAGAATTGGCCCCATACCTATTCCTCCGGCTCACCCCCATTGCAACCCAGTTAAAACCACACACTTTTAAAAAAAAAAAACCCCTGTGATTAAGTAACGAAACACTCCTAGTGTATAGCGCTGGAGAAGGATGACATGAAGAATACGCACGGAGACAGATCAACGCCACTTGGCGGCTTCTATTTCCACAAGATCTCGGTCAGAAATCTTTTTCAGGCCCACAGGATCCCACATCCCCCTGAAACGGCACGGATTCCCAAGGAAGGACGCTTAAGAAAAACACACACACCCCCAGTTCCATAACTCAACCAACCGGCAATCGTTGGCAAGGCGGTTATTCTTAGAACGCAGCTGGCAGGAAATGGCTGCCCTCCCTGCTTCCTTCCAGCCGTCCCACAAACAGTGATTATCCAAGGAAACGATGAGCTGACGAGAGCACATTTCCGTGGTTCCTGAGGGGAGAGAACGGAACGGAAACTTTAAAAATAGGCCCTGGGAATGATGTCTCTCGGGTTGTAAGGGCTCGGTTCTTTTAAAGACGTTGTGTGCGTTATACATAGAGTTCAGGACATAAGAATAGCTCGGGTTGCCAACTCTGGATTGGGAAATTCCTGGGGATTTGGGGGTGGAACCTGGGGAAGGTGGAGTCTGAGGAGGGGAGGTACCTCAGTGGGTTTTGGTGCCATAAAATCATAAGAACATAAGAACATAAGAGACGCCAATGTTGGATCAGGCCAAAGGCCCATCCAGTCCAACACTCTGTGTCACACAGTGGCCAGAAATACCAGTGCCATCAGGAGGTCCAGCAGTGGGGCCAGGACATTAGAAGCCCTCCCACTGTTGACCCCCCCCCCAAGCACCAAGAAGACAGAGCATCACTTGCCCCAGAGCCCATAGCTATACCTTGTGGCTAATAGCCACTGATGGACCTCTGCTCCATATGCTTATCTAATTCCCTTTTGAAGCCGTCCATGCTTGTAGCACCCACCACTTCCTGTGGCAGTGAATTCCATGTGTTAATCACTCTTTGGGTGAAGAAGTACTTCCTTTTATCCGTTCTAACCCGACCGCTCTGCAGTTTCATGGAGTGCCCACGAGTTCTTGTATTGTGAGAAAGGGAGAAAAGTACCTCTTTCTTTACCTGCTCTTTCCCATGCATAATCTTATAAACCTCGATCATGTCACCCCTCAGTCGTCTTTTCTCCAAGCTAAAGAGCCCTAAGCGCTTTAACCTTTCCTCATAGGGAAAGTGTTCCAACCCTTTTATCATTCGAGTTGCCCTTTTCTGCACTTTTTCCAAAGCTATAATATCCTTTTTAAGGTGTGGTGCCCAGAACTGCACACAGTATTCCAAATGAGGTCTCACCATTGATTTATATAGGGGCATTATTATATTGGCTGATCTGTTTTCAATACCCTTCCTAATAATCCCCAGCATAGCATTGGCCTTCTTTATTGCAGTCACACACTGTCTCGACATTTTCAGTGAGTTATCCACTACAACTCCAAGATCTCTCTCTTGCTCAGTCTCTGCCAGTTCAGACCCCATCAATGTGTATTTATATTTAGGATTTTTGGCTCCAATGTGCATCACCTTGCACTTGGCCACATTGAACCCCATTTGCCATGTTGACGCCCACTCGCCCATCCTTGACAGATCCCCTTGGAGTGCCTCACAATCCTCACTGGTTTTCACCACCCTGAACAACT